TGTTCCTTTTGCTTCACCTGGGTCAAAAAATGTTGGCTGAGTTCCTTTAGTGAAAGCCACAGCTGCTGTTCCAGAGCTTACTGCATACAGATGTCCCTGTTTACTTATTTAGGTCTGGAGTAGCGCTACTTCTCACTGATACTAGAGCTGTGTGATATACTACCTCATCCCATGTTTCCTAAACCTTGTCTTCACATCTCATAGAAAATTTGTTATGTTATCCTTACATTTCCCCAGTTCTGTGTGTCCTCTCTTTTCTGCTGCTTTATCTGCCATTTAACTTAGAGCAAAATGAAGTCTTAAGAATGTCTTATGAAGAAAATATTATTGTCTCCTCTGCCCAGTATATGACTTCATGACCTACTTTGTCATATGATATTTGTACTCCAAACACAGGACTTCTTATTGAGACCCTCTATCAACACTATTTAAAATTAAAAATACCCTCCCAGTATTTCCCATCCCATGAGCCTGCTCTGCCTACTTTTTAAAATCATATTCTGTATTGTACATGTCTATTTTATTTTGTAACTCTTCACACTAGAATGTAAGCTGGTTAGAAGACTGAAGTTATTCTTCCTTTTTCATTTATGCTGAGTGAGTGAATCAATGAAAGTATGAAAGAGTGCTGCATGGCATTTCAGAAGACAGAGAACGATTTCTGCTGATGACATCAGAAACATGGTATTTGAATCTAGAGAATGCGTGTATGAGATGAGTATTTTCCCAGATTGTAGCCCCCTGAGTGTGTCCATACTGGTGCAAAAATGTTCCAGAAACCAGTCTTTTCATTGGATTGTTGTGTCCAGTGCGTTTAGAGAAGCAGAAGATATTCAGTTTCTGAAGAGAGGCAGCTTAGAGAATGGAGAGTCCAAAATGCAAAATAAACAAGCCAAAATAAATTCATCTTGGAGAAAAAGAGTTGAAGTATCCTGGTCAGAACGCTAGTCTAGAAACACTGATTCTGTGATGAGCAGACAGTTTGGGGAAGGAATAGTACAGCCATTAAGGGAGACAGAAAGCCGTGAGGACGGATGATGAGTCCTGAACCTCAGTGGTAGTGGTGATCAGGGGCAGGAGGGCTGAAAGACGTATTGTCTTGGCAGAATGCACTGGCCTGTAGAGGACAATATAGGTGACACAAAGTATATGAAAGAACTGACCTCTTAATTACCATCTGACCTTACATCAAGACTACTTTATTTCATTTTTCTAATATCATCTCTATTTTGAAACAGGTTTAGTTTTTTCTGTTTCAATTCATTTGCAAGAGATACTCTATAGTCCATTGTAGATAGATGGTATTTATCACAGCTTGGTGTTCTGGCATTTTGAGTCTATTTAATAGCAAACAACAGCTGCCAGTGAGCCTGATGCCGATGCTAATGTGGGCTACCGCAGTGTGGGCTACTGCAGACAGAAAGGAGCACAAAGGGACATCCTAAATTGAAGCTGCACCCAGACCGGCCTCCAGGACACAGCTGCAGCTCTTCCCACTCCCACCTGGTCACGGATCATACATCTTCAAGCAATGCTGACGGCCACATTTACTGGTGTTGGATGTGTGTTGGGAGCCTCAGGATTCCACCACTGAAACGCATTTCCTGCAGTGATGAACAGAGGCTTAATGGGGTCACTTCGACAAAACATTGCATCAGTGATGAAAGGGAGGTAGAAGAAAGAGGCAAGGCTCTTTCCCTCTGCTCGCAATGGTAATCAGTATGGTAGTCAATTTACAGAAACATTCATGGAAAAATTGGTACATGCCAGTCACCAGACTAATTCGATATATAGTATGTCCTCATCAGAGCTGTGGCATAACAGGTGAAACAGGTATATACAGACTCGCATTTCTATCAGCAGTATTATGAATCATGCAAGAGTAAGAGACAGAACACCAAATTCTGCCTCGGGAAATTCTCATAGATTTCAAAACATTTGACCTCAACTTGAAGCACTGTAAGAGCTCTCATATGAAGAAGGAAAGGGCAGGTTTTGCGAGCAGAAGAAACACTCACAGAGGCTTACAACTCACACGAGACAGACAACTATGTGGCACATTCAGGAAATAGACTAAGTGGTGTATGCGTAGCTTACACTCTTGGGATTCTTGGGAGGAAGCAGGGAGAAGAATTTTGAATGACTTTTTGGACAAGTAATTGAGGATGCGAGAAAGAGAAGTGATCTCTGGGATTTTGTCTGATTTTATGCTTTTATAGATCGTCTACATGTCTGGGTTTGGACTACTTTGAATTATTCCTGGATTGCATCTTCAAACCTACAAAAACTTCTTGGTTCCCTGTTTTTACAGCAACTTGTGAAACATCAAACTGGAACTGTACTGAAGGCACAAGTAGTACATTACTCAAGGGCCCATAGCAAAGAAATTACGGTTTGGATCAGAACTAGGATGTACTAACTCCCTGGGATATTGTTGTTTATACACTGTGATTTCAAAGCCAGGTTCTATTCATTTTTTGAGATATCATGAAAATATCATAATAGAAAGGTTGCTATGAATTTGTATTGGGTAAGAAATAAAGCCATAAAGCTGTTAAGAAGACAAAAGTTACCATTTGTTTCACCTAATTTACAAACCAGTCACCTTAGACCTTGAGATTTAAATTGAATTAGAGAATGCCAAGGCCCCAGAGTTGAATTATGAGCAAGTTCCATGTAAACACAGTGTATCCTCATAGAACTATGGTTCCAAATGGCAGGAGAAAATAGATAGGGAGGAGTTAATTGTTTAGCTTTACAAGTGAGACATATATGTTATAGGACCAAAAGTATACAGAGGGAAGGGGTGGATATGACTCATTTGAGAAAAAAATCATGTTCCTAGTATCACTAGACATTGAGTATTAGTGGCTGTGTATATGTGGAGAGGGTAGGGGTTTATTTAAGCATTCCTCAGTGAACCAAAGAATCACAGAATCACGGCATCCATTTTGCGGACTCAGAAGTATGAGACAAGAGAGGAGAAATTACTTGTTTAAGGTTATGCAACCATTTCAGTTCAGAGCTAGGATGAGAACCTCAGTTACTTCAGGGAAAGCAATTGCCTAGTGGTTGCTTTTTGGAATAAACAGTCAATATCTCTAAAGGCTATTTCAGAATAAAACTTATGTTTCAAGAATCAGTCCCCAGAACAAGTATGTAGCTCACCAGCCCCATCCATCTGGTCCATGTATGTCCCAGAGCCTGACTTTCCTGTCTAACAAGTAAGAGAGGAGGTGAGCAAGGCAGAGGGGAAAGGGAGAGGGAGAGAGTAGGACAGCAGAAAATGTAACTTTTACCCATGCTCTCATGTTTACTAGATGAAAGAATACGCTAGCCTGAAAGATAGAGGTCTGATCCAAAGTATAGCACATCTATACCCAGCAGGTTACCAAATTAGGGATGAATTTGGGCAGGCCAAAGACCAGTACACTTCTGAAGGTCCAATCCTTAATTTATTCAACTAAAAAGTAAGAAAATACCTAGGCTACTATGGTAGTTTTAAAACATGTCCATAAATGTTCGGCACTCCTCTCTTCAAGAGGAGGTACCCACCCCACCTCTTCAGTCTGAGCTAGCCTTACAATTCATTTCTAGCAAACAGAATATTGCCGAAATGATAGTGTCCCTTTGGAGACTAGGTCATGAGGGACACTTTGGCTTCCTCCTTGATCTCTGTAGCAGATCACTCGCTCTGGGGGACTCAAGTAGTCCCACTGGGAGGTTCATACAGGGAAGTTCCTGCAACAAGAAGCTTAGGGTTCCTACCCGTGTCCAGCCCTCTGTGGAAGACCTGGCTTCTCCGTCCTTGGTCGAGATTCAGATGAGCGCAAACAACCCCAGCCAAAAGTTTGGAAGTCTCCTCATTTGTAATGTTGAGTAAGAACCATGCAGCTAAGCTGTGAACCAAATTTCTGACCCATGGAAACTGAGGTAACAAATATTTGTTGTTTTAGTTTTGAAAAGGTGGCTTTTTTTTATAGCAATCCAAAATAATTAGAGTTATTTTTCCCAACTAACTTAGTCAGATACTATTTTCATTGTCTTTAATACTTAAATCAAACAGTAGCTAAACTTTCTGTTTATAAAATTTATATACAAAAGATTACAGTTAGACCATATGCTTTTGAAAATACCTCCGTATTATACAATTTAAGAAAATCCTCATCTTCTTACCTTCCTTTGCTAACAAATTACTATATTAATACTAATATTAATAATAACACCACTAAACATGTATTTTTAGAGATTTATTACATAGTGTATCTACCCTTACAATACTAGAGAAATATAGTATTATCCCCATTTGATTGATAAACTGAGACTGAGAATAAATGTGTGCTATTCAAAGTTATACATTTAATAAAATAATTTGTATTTCAAATAATATTTTCTGAGTCCACTGTAATATTTTTATAACTTCAAGCATTTTTATAATGAAAATAACCATCCAACTTTCTTCCCTGAACCTCGACACTCACTCACTACATGCTGTGACTCTTCACTCTGGTACTGGGGAAATTTTACCCATCTCCTTTCACTCCCATATCATTGATGTTTAGAAGTGGGTTAAGGGGCTTTGTTTGTTTTCCCTTGTTTTGTGTGTGTCTCTTCTTAGAAATCATCTATAGCAATTGTCTTTGCCCACAAACAAGTCATTATATCTTAAACATTTTGTCCTGTTTTAGGTGACCAAAGCATAGAAATAATAAATACTGGGGAAATAGCCTCATTGGGCCATCCAGAGTACTAATTGCATTGGTCATTTCTATAACCTTATGTTCTGTATTTTGTTATTCTCCTGTTTTACATAATTTCATTGCAATGTCAATAGTATAAAAATAAAGGATTCTAAATGATAAAGGATTGGGAATAAAAATTCAAATTTAGTATTTCCATTTTACAAAAAAAGAATACTGTCTGCAATACGAGGATTTGTTTTTTACCTTTTTATTCCATATTTATAATATGTCATCACTGATTTTCCATTGAATAATTTTCAAAAATTGTAAAAGTACTTAAGGCAATTATCCTTACAAGAGCACACATCTAAATCATTCAGGGAGATTTACTAGGCTGGGTTTCATCCCATCTATTTACATGTTTTTGTTTTTTTTTTTGCAGGATGACTTTCAATTCTGGTTAAGAACCACTTTCACTAGGTGTTTCCCAAACAGGGTACAGTTAATGATAAATTAAATGAAAGCACATGACACAGTTATGATGATAGAAAATGAAAAAGATGTTATATGTTTTTGAGTCTTAAGTAAAAATAGATGCGTGTTCCATTTTATCTTAATTTCTTAAAATAAATCAAGAGAGTATTAAAATACCCATTAGCTAGCATAAAATAAAAATAACTCACAATCTGATTTTAGAATCTATCTGAGATCTTTCTGCTTTCTTCCCATAGGAACATTTCAGCATTGTTCTTTGCATTGAAATATTTCTAAATGTTTGAAATAACCAAGGGGGGTGATCTTCGAATGATTCTTAGAAGGACTTTGAATGCATGCACTACACTAGGAAATAGCACTTCTTTCTTCAACTTTATAACTTGCTATTGTATATTAACTCCTTAGAACTCATCTTTACCAGCCCAGAGATTTTTTTCTTAGAATCAAATGATAGTTTACATAATAAAGAAGTCATATAAAATCCAAACCTTTGATACAAACAGAATCCCGATCATAGACTGCTTCTCACACTAGCGTTCATAGTACCCATACTAGCTAGCATTTGTCTCTTTATCTGAGCTTTCGGCCTGCTCAATTTGAGTTTCCTATTTAGCTATTTAGATAAATGAATCATGTGTGGTTTTTTAATGACGATGTTACATGCTCTGCTGTGTTTTAAATGTCTTCAATTCTTCTGAGGCTCCTTGAATACTCAAAATGAAATGGCTCATTTGCAGATAATTTGAGTGTCATATTCTTAGGGAACTAACTAAAGCCACTGACAGGAAAGTAATCAAATACAGTAACTTCCACATTTTTAAGCACGCTTTCTCTTCATGAGAAGCTGTTGGAATTATTATGCATTCATTCAACAACTTTTATTTAGAGAATATTTATGTGAAATATCTACTCCTTTCTGTGTGCTGTTTTATCTTGATACCTTGGGGTGTTGGCAACCAAGTCTTTCTATTCTTTCATTATCAAAGCATGTGTCCTTCCTCAATTTAAAGTGTCTTCCCTCTTCAGGCTATCTCATTTCTGTCTTCTATATAGAAGACAACGCTACCTATTCTATGTTATTTGCCGAGCCCAACTCAATTTTTCTTTTCCTGGGGACACAGAAAGACTAAGTTTTCTATGACTTTCTCTATGACTGTATTAGGATCTTGGAGCTAGTTCCTGGTCAATAAATTCTGTGAATAATGGACGTTGATTTAGGCCAAAGCATTGACCAATAGCAAACCACACACTTTAGGTGGCAAAGCTACCAAAAAAAAAAAAAAAGGTACCTCTGTTGGACCTGTGGCATAAACAAGAAATAAGGCTTCTGATATGGAACTGCTGAAAAACTGGAGTTGTTAGCCCAACAGAGTTTATCTTACTCTATTTAATGTATATGATAACTATAGCAATCCTACCACATTACAAATGTCAATGTTTGCTATTTCATGTTGTATAAATACACGCTACAAACCACTGTATTCAACTGTCTCCTTGTGTTGAGGCAACTCCGAGGGCTAAACCTGCCCCACATTTTGATCTATTGCCTGCAAACACCTTGTTAAAATGATGACTCGTAGTCCTCCTTGGTTGGAGAAAATCAGAGCCTACAAAAGCAAAGAGGAGTAAAAGAGAAGTAAAAATTAATGGTTCTTAGAAATTTTGTGCATCAGAATCACCTGAGAAATGTATTTAAAGTACAGATTGGCCAGGCCAGGAATTTAGCTCACTGGTTCCACCATCTGCTTCTCAAGCGCAAGTACCTGAATTCGATCCCTGGTACAAAACCAAAAGCAAACATAATGCACAGACTGGCTACACCTCAAAGATACTTGTTTAGTTATTCTTGGATAACATCAAGAACAATGCATCTTGTTATGAATATGAAATGATTCTCATGTATGATTCATGGCATATACTTTGTGAAGTCTTGGGCAGACCCCAGTGAAGACATTCACTTCTTACAACCTGAACAACAATATAGGAATTATGGGAAAGGTTCAAAAAGTTCTTGTCAGTAGTAGATTTCCAAGTTTGACCCATGGAATACCTTATTCACATTATAAAGGTCACAGTTTGTTTGTTTGCTTATTTGTTGAAAGCAGACTCCTAGACAATGCCTAGCATCTAAGGGAACAGCCCTTCTGATGAAGTACTCTGCCCTGAGCTTTTCATTTTCCCTCAGCAATTCTTGGATGAACAAAAGTCTGAAACCATTACCATAGGAGTTGTCTGTCCTTCTGTGTCTAACTTAATAATTAGTTCAATTTATTATTCATAACTTCTATCTGAACTGGAACATTAGTTTTCCCACAAATTCAAATTTTCAACCTGGAAGTGAATATATTATTAGAGTTTTCATAGTTATTAAAACTAGATATCAATGAGGTCATTCTGGAATATATAATGGCCCTCCAAGCTGCTGCAAGATTAAATTTATTTTCAAGATAACTAATGAATATATTTCTAAATTCCACTAAGAAAAAGGTGAGTGTTGCATTTGAAGGAAAACGCAGAGCACAATCAGATAGTCTAGAAGACACCAAAAATGGCCACTTTTTGAAATTATAATATGTAAACAGGATGCTATGTAAAACGATGGTATGACAAAGTCAGATGATGCATCGGTGTGTAGGGTTACATTACATGTGTTTTTATTTGATAGACTATGGTTCTGTAGATATAGTTCCATCTAGATGACACAGTAATAATAATACTATCATTTGTCTCCAACATGTTAGGAGCTGGGATTAGGTGTCAAGTTTATCACTGATTGGCTGAGTGTATTTAGGAAAGTCACTCATCCTGGGTTGCAGATTTCTGTTCTGAACTGATTTTGGTCATTTTATAAAAGTGAAAAAAAAGTAATTCATATGAAATAAATTTGTAGTATATCACTTCATGCTCACAACACCCAGTGGGGTGAACATTCTTATCTCCATTTTAGCTAACAGGAAATTGAGGTTCAGGAAGGTCATGACTAACCAAGAGAGAAGAACTCTACTTGACTTTAAACTCTTACTCCATGAGAACCAACATTTTATTGCATAGTGATACATTCATTTCTTTAACCTTATAATTATGCCATTTCCATTATGCATACTCATGGCTTATAAGAAAATTTTCTGTCTTATTATCATTTGTCTCAGTGAAGTATATGATACTAAACCACATTCAACTGTGGCATAATGGGTCAAGGAATAATAACAGAACTCCCAAGCCTTTCTCCATTCAGTAAACGTAGAACCATTATCATTCTGACCCCTGTATAAATAATGCCTGAAGTTAGGACTTTACACCGCTTACACTGTACTTACGATGTCAAGCAAAATTGATACTCATCAAAATTTAGCCTTGAGAGCACACAAAGTACTCAGCTGTTCATACGAGTTCAATGTTAAATTTCATTCTCTCTGTCATTCATTCTTGCATTTATTTTAGGTGCTCAGAAAATAATTCATAAATGACAAAAGTACTATGTCAACTTTTTCCAAAGATATTTTGCAGTCTGAGAAACTGTGTTATAAGAAATAAGGCTATACATTAATAGGAGCCCCCTCTCCCTCTTGGAACTTACACTACCCATGCTTAACAGATTTGAAGAGCAACTGCTATCCATCTGCCAAGTTAAGACCCTGAACATACATCAAAGATGGATTATTGTCTTCAAGAAGGTATTCAGTACAGAGCAAGGCACTTTCTGGTTAATAGGCAGTTAGGGTGTCTTGTCATTCTCTAATGATGTGCTCCATGGTGAGTAACATTGCCTCTGGCGGGCCCTTCTCTCCTCCCATCTCTTCTTCCTCAGAGAAGAGATCCTAGTTTCTTGTTCCAACAGTGAAAGAATCTGATATTCACTGGTCTGAGCTCACTAGATACCAGGAGTAATGTACTGACGGTGACTGTGCATGCCTAGTATAGTCTCTTGCTATTTTGATCCACTTCTGTTCAGGGATAGCAGATTTTATGCTTCTAATTTTCTTACAGTAAACCCAAAAGGCAGGGAATCCCTCCAGAGTATGTAGAAGACTCACTACCTTTGAGCCTTTTCTCCCAAGGTGTAGGGATGGCTCAGATCAGCCCTATTCTGAAGGCCCGGAGTGTTCAGTTTGGAGAGGAATAAACAGCCCGCATTGTGTCTGGGGGCCAGCTCTGTCCTCCAGCGCCAGTACCACTTGCAGCACTCGGATCCCCATTAAGACATTTGTTCTTGGGCTGAATACTTCAATTCTGAAATTACAAACTGGTGGGCCACAGACTGAGTTTGTCTCACAGATATGTTTTCCTTGGCTCTTTGACTTCATTTTATTTTTTAAAAATAAATCTAAGCCAGCTTCTCATTGAGGGTATACATAGAAATCTACACTTTTAGTTTCTCTTCAAAAAAAAACTAAAACATCTGGAAAGATAGAGGGATAAATCAATGGCAACAAACAAATGGAGCTGAGTAAAACCTGTTCTCCATTTAAGAAATACGTGCTCTTCAGGTACTTAAGGGTTCAAGCATCCCTATTGCATCCAAGACTTGAAAATCAAGTGTGAGGGGTTCTTTATTTTTGTGTGAAAATATTTGTAGAAAAGAAATCCTTGTTTGTACTATAGTCCATCTACCTTGGCACAGTAGTAAATAGAGACAACTAGTACTATGCTTACATCTGGCAGCCCATTCACTTTTATTTTTGTCACCTTCTGACCCCTGTAGACATTTCTATTTAATATCCCTTCTCAGAATTCTGCATGAGCAAAAGTGGTCAAGACACCAAATTCTACCTTAAATACCTTACATACTGAAATTTTCAGCTGTTAGCTTTGGGGGGGGAAAAAGAGATTATTAAATGAACTCCATTTCCCTTAAAACATTTTCTCATTGTCTTCTGGTCCTTTCCCAGATTTGTCTTAATATACATTGGGAAGAAACTAAAGATCTTAGTCTTTCTTGTACCTACACCAAATCTCAATTTCCTGAAATGGAGCACTCTTCACATTTGAATACAAAAGACAGAAAAAAAAAATAGAAGAGAGACAAGGAGATAAAAATTTGTTAGTACAAATGAAGTAACATAAAGATATAACTTTATTAATGCTAACCATGTTTGGAAGTCTGGAGTACACTGGTGTATGGTGAGGCAGAGAACATCATGTGTCCCTGGGTGGGTATGTTTGGCCTTCTGAGGGAAATGTGTTGTAAGTTTTGCTGTTGTTGTTGTTGAGTTTTGTCCTACAACTTCCACCAGAGCCAACTCTTTTCCATGATGTTCCCTTCGTATAAAAACACCCTATAAGTCTTATAGCTCAAGTGCACCTGACTGGCCCATCATAGCATGAGGTCAATCAACAAACTCAAAGGAAACATATATAAATTCTTGGTTGCGTTTTAAACCATTGGGCAAGATAGAGGCAACTTTCACATACTGACCTTCTAGGGCCCAAGAAGAGTGTGCTCTTCTGAGGCCGATAGAGGCAATAACTCTGGATTCGGGTTCTTCAGATCTTTTGACTCCTAGAAATAAATAGGTTTTTTTTTAAAAAAAAAACAATGAAAGGGACACAGACCCAATAGTCCATGAGATAATAAAAATGTCAGTTATTCCCAAAGGTTCGTGACGGGTAGAGGGTTCGTAGGGATAGGCAGCAACCCCCCACCACACACAGTAGTTATAGGATATAAAAGTCATTGTTATTAGATAAATCTGTGAAATGGTGAAGAGCAAGAGCAGAGATCTGGGGCAGAGGGGGTCCCAAGCTGGTGCCATTTTGTATCCACTGAGTTTGTGGCACTTGGGGAGCAGGCTTACAGAGGTGCGTCTCCCACTGGGGCTGGGTGTGGATCTCCGCCCGGCTCTTGCTCCTCAGGTGGTTCTCCCCTTCACAGTAGGTGACACAGCAGCGGCAGGCTGCCGAGGGCTTCCCTCGCTGCTTGGACCCTGCGCCTGAGGCTGCGGGGGGCCCCGAAGACCTCTCTGAGCTCTGGAGTTCCGGGGCCTCTTTCAAACGACTTCTCCTCCTCTGAACGTGATCCAGACTGATGTCAGACTGAGAAGAGCAGCTGTCGTTCCAGCCAGAACTGGCACTCAGACTTCTCAGGGGAAGAGCCAAGCGCAAGGCCTTCCAGAATTTGGAGCCGGAATGTTTGGACTTTTCTCCCTTCCAGCTCACAAAAGACACGGATTCCTTCAGCTGCAGGATGCCGGGGTGTGGGCGCTCAAGGGGACGGTACTCCACCACGATGAGTTTGGTGGCAATGGAGTTCTGGCACATGACGCCCAGTTTGAACTCCAGCATGCTGATGCTTTTCTCTGTCACGTAATCTGGGCTCAGGACCACAATCATCCTCCGGCTCCTCTGAATGAAATCAAAAACCGCTTCCACTGTATCTATAGGGAAACAGAAAACAGCGTGACGGCTAGTGAAGACTTCATGTCGCAGATCCACACTGTTGAGCCTAGAAAGGACAGGCGAAGAAGAAACATTTGGGAATGCAGGATCTGAGTGCGAGATAAACCACATACTCTGAAAGTCAAGCCATCTCACCGACCTTTTTTTTTTTCCTTTTTCGCAGTTGCAAGGAATTTGCTACCTTTAGAGAGGAGGAGAAATTTTAGCTCAGGCTTTCTCCCAGACTGCAAAACTTCAGGTCAGCAGGCCCCTGCTGGGGTAAAGCCTTCCTTCAACATCAAAACGGAAAAAATACAATTGGTATTTAAATCAACCAGCTCTAAAAGCAGCAACTTCTGTCTCTGTTTTGAAATCCTCATCTCTGCAGTTTACACCTGAGGCCAGGTGGCTCACTCCCCATGTCTGCAGTGCGGTGACAGCAGTTGCGATGTTGCCATCTTTTCTCCTTACCGACAGACTGTATACATTCAGGGCTTTTCTCATATTTCATCCATAATAGAATTTCAATTCTCCTCCCTGCTGTTATAATTTTCCTCTGAAGAATATTCTGTTTCTATATGTGTCTTCTAAGAATATTTGAACAGCAAAGCCACTGACCTTGTTGATCAGTAAAGTACATTAGGAATCATTGTTTTTTGAAATTCTCAGTGATGCATTTCCTTTGACATTTAACTTTGGGATATAACACGGACCTTTTTGTCAAAGTTTCCCTCCCTCCTTCTTCTTTCTTCCTTCCCTCCTTCCTTCTTTGTCTTTTTATATTCATGTATGAGTGTTTGTATTTGTTTGTGTGTGTTGTGCAAAGGATTGGCTAGAAATCTGTTAAAAACACAAAACAACAGCCAATCACTCAATTCGGATGGTCAATGAAGTGGATTTGGACAGCTATCCAAAGAAAGTTCTTCAAATAAGTGCAGTGCTTAATGCATTTTGAGATTTAGGAACTCAGACAATGTGACTATCTGAAGGAAAAGCTCTTTCACAGGTGTAAATCACTGCCTTTCACAACTCCAGACAGGCTCTAGAGACACACTTCGACTGTACTTACACTTCGGAGACACTTTTCGGCTTGTGAAGACAGCGTGAAGGTTTGCCGTGAATTTGGTTGTTAAGAACTCTACAGAGAGCGAGGGAGCTAGGAACCTCCCCAAATACTTGTTTCCAATCAGGGGATTTCACATGAATTTGAATACAAATTGGAAAAGATGTCACTTTTCAAGAACATTTGATCGGCTTAATAATGCAAATGTATTTTAGAATATTCTTGTTTTGAAATTGCAAGATAAATTTAAATTTTCACTTCTCTTCAAAACTGTGTGCACACTCATTTTCAACTTCATGCGTACGTTCTGGTAACTTCTTTGTTCCTTCTCAAAATGTCATGAAGCTGCTTGTTTAATAAAAGGGAGAATATAAGACTACAAACTCTTGTTTCTCCTGGCTCATAAGCTCAAAAGAAGACAACATGGCTAGCTTTTGAACACAGGTATTTTGTACAAATTCCATGAGTGTGCATTGTGTGTAGGGAAGAGGGGTGGGGTATGTGAGCTGTTTCTCCTCAAAATACAGTACTCACTTTAGAAAAACATATGTTCTTTCCAATCAGGATCCCGTGGTTGAAAATAAAATACTTTCTTAGATCTAAAAACACTGCCTTTAGAGCTTGTTGCTGTTTAAAAAATGTTTCCAGAAAGTATAAGATTTACATTTGAAGGAGGACAATGGTAAATACAGACATGAGTGGCAGAATTCCAAACAGAGTGAAATGAAAGACGAGATGCTTTAAAAGAAGATACTTGCTAATATGGGCGACTTTCAAAATTACTTCCATATTGTCCAAACTTCATACCTGAAGTGGGGAGTTGCTATTATTTCTTAACCCTAAATAGTATTCGGAGAGGGAGAAATAAGTTAGATTTTTTTAATCTGTTTGTCTCAAAACAACGAGGTGTAGCTGTGCAATGATAGAGTCGATTTTCTTTTGCCGGACTAAATTGGCTGTGAAGTCAGAGTAATGGTATAGAACTCTATAATAATATTCAGGAACACTTCCATCTCTAAAAGCCATAATCTTCCTGGAATTCACCCAGAACAAGTTACAGATATACCTGTATTCTTTGTGTAGGATACTGATGGAAGAAAGAATAACAAGTCTCCCTCTCTCCCCTTCTTCCCACCCTCCCCCGCTCTCCGTCTTTCCCTCCCTCCTTTTTTTTCTGTCTCCGACCTTTAAAACTTGAAGAGTAATAAAACGTGAGCACTTAATCTAGAAGATAGACTTAAATTAAAATCTCAGTTTCTCTATTATCTGTATTTTATTCTCTTTCAATTTGAGTTCAATCATCTATAAAATGCATTCAAGAATAGACTTCTAGGGCTTTGAAACAAATTGGATATCTATATGTAAACATAGCATGCAGCAAATATTTGAATAATTTGACTAAATTATTACTAAATTCTAGTGAGCATCATTTCAAATAGTATATATTAATATTATTGAATTCGTGTCAATTCTCAATGTTAGCTTTAGAACATTACTTTATATGAATTTCTGAGAAAATGGGCTTTAAAACTTTTTTGTATTCAATGTAAAAGGGATGCAGGTAAAAAGTATTGCCGGAAATAGTGTCCTACCTGATCATAAACGTTACTTTACACTTCTTGAATAGAAATGGAAAAACAGGACAGATTAGTTGTTAACTGTGCCTCTCATACAATACTGCAGATGTATTTACATAAAAGACCTAGCAGCATAGCAAACGACTGAAGAAAGTAGCTTGAGAGTTTTAACAAGGTCAGTAACATCCCGGTGAGCCAAGGTAACAAAATGTTGATACTGAATATTCTGAACAGTCAACACTACGCTCAAGAAGCCCATAGAATATTTGAGAAAATCTTAAGACTCATCACAATCTATCCAATGCAAAAGCTCAGATGTAAAATCCAATATGAGTTCGTCAAGCCTCTGGTTGTGTACGTCCTTTTATGGAGATGTAACATGTCCAAGGATAGTGAATTCTATTCATGTTCAACTATCTTATATGTGTTTCTGAATTGAACAGCAATCTGCTCTTGACTTTGACCCACTGATCCTCACTAAATCTACCCTTTGGAGACTGTTTGGCAAAAGGAAAATATTTCAGTAGGAAAATTTTTACTAAGTTAACTAGTTCAGTACATGTTACAAGGACTCAATACATATTCTTTGAACAGATAAATAAGTAGGGATTTTTTAAAAAAGTAAAGTCATCCTTATTATTAAAGGCTCAATATTATTTACCCCAAGGAAAATGCATTCCAAATATTTTTCAATTATTTATTTATTTGAAGTTCTACAGGATTGTGTCTCTAATTCAAATTATAATATATTAAAGAAGGACATTGATTTCTTGATATTCATCTAGAGCGACTGTTTTGGGGGTCACATTAAAGCCTTTTAAAAGGGAAGAGATTCATATAATCTACTCACGTTCCATGGTGAGCCAAGAGGAGTGAGTTTGTGTTTTTTTAGTAAAGGAATCACTCCTCTCGCCCATTTCTACACCTGTCTCTCTCTCTCTACACACACACACACACACACACACACACACACACACATACACAGAAGACACCCTAGTACACTTAATTCTTTTGCTAATATGTAAAAGAAATATTCTTGATAAGAATTTGCCCCCGTTCTCACATTTCTCTCAGATGAATCTTATCTATCAACACTTCCTTGGTTTCCTTTTGTAAGTACAATCATTTATTTTCATTCTAATTTTTATGCCCAAACATGAAAATAAAGACATGAACACATGCACAAAATAAAATTCAAAGCTGAAAATAAATGGTTTATTTTTAAAATATGTAAATTTACATACTAAATGAAAAACAGAAAATACAAAATTCATGAACAAAATTAAAAAGATAACCTTAAAATATTAAAACCATCAAAAGAAAATGGGTAATTAACAAGAGGAGTGATCGTGTTTCCAAATACAGTGGAATACTTTTTTATTAGAATACTAAGAAATCATCTAAGTTACTGTACAAGAGAGAATTAAGTAAACTGTCATTGTGTAATTAGACACTCTACATAGCATGGCTTTATTAACCTGGGTGCAGAAGGTCCTTATAGCATAGATATAAAACCATTAGTTTTTTAATTAAGAGCTATAACTTGTTCTTACTTGATGATGTATAAATATGTGTGCATATCTCCCTCACATATTCTGCACTAGGCATCTTCTGAAACATAATAAAAATAAAAACTTGAAACTAAGTTCTCTTATGATGAGATATATTACTTAATTCGATATGCTCTGTATTATAGCATTTGGGGAAGCGCAATACCAAACATAGTAATATAGATAGGAAAAAAATGAAGTAATTTCTAGGAACACCCAGTGGGATTTGGCATAAACATGGAATCAAAAAGCACAAAAGGAATGCAGCATAACAAGAGATTAACCCCCAATTATGAGACTAACCCTTGTGTACCTAAAGCTCATGCAAAAAAAAAAAAAAGATGTTCAAAGCATATCTGGAGAAAACTCTCCTCTGGTATTATGACTGGAGTTAGTAAGACGAAAAATAGCAATCCATAATAAGAAAAAATTAATGTCTCAACATAATGATTAAAAGAATAACTCCATATCTACAGTTTTTTATCAAGGTTTCAGAGGGAAACTTTTTTCATTTTAAAATCATCAGTAACGCATATAGAGAAATGATTTATTATGAACTTTAACACTGATGAAGGACACGATAATACAGAAGAGAGTTTTAGAGTTGCTTATTAACATTTACACTACTGAGATAAGGGCTTTTCTTAATTTATTGATTATTGTTTCATAAGGTAGTCAGATTCAATTATGGGTAGTATATTTATTGTCCTATATTATTGAACAGTACCGATAGCTGAGCACTGAGGTTCATACAGCTTAGTTTCTCAAAGTCTCTGCTGGGAATATAATAGAAAATCAATCAATACCAGGTGGCTCTTTAGTGTTTAGCAATGACTTCAGAAGCTCAGTACACACTGCAACCCAGATCAACTGTAGCAGTAGTAAGTTATATACTAATTTAAAGACGAGAAGAACCAATGACAGCTACCACTGTGAATTCACAGATATTAATGGACTGAAAATACCAACACAAAAGCATAATAGCACAAAAACATTAAAAACTGGACAAAAATTCTAGTGGCTTGTAATATTGTTCCAATGGTATATATATGATATCTATATATATATCATATATATAGATAATTCATGTGCAAATATAAAACACACATATGTACATACACGTTCAGGATATTTATATCCATACACACATACATGACTTTTATCTTCATGAATGTGTGTATGCATATTCTACATGTAACACAGATATCCAACATTCTGTAAACGCTGCACTTAGATGTGACTTCTTCAAATCTGACATATCTTAAAATCAAGTTTCATTGACAGTAACCTTTTAGGCAGACCTACTTAGAATAAAGCATTACCTGTACCAGTGATTAAATCATGGAAAGTACAACTAATTCTTTTAGAATATTAATGTTAAGAGCACTTTTCAAGGTCACTAAATCTACTCTCTACAATTTTTAGTAAGGAGATGCAAACAAATGAAGAGAACTCAGTTTTCCAGTTCTCAAATTAGCAAGGCTAGGATTAAAACACAAATTGCCCAACATCCTATTCTGTGCTCTTTTCATAAGTCAGAAATGCCCTAAAAGCATTCTGTTGTTTTCTTGCTCTCCATTAGCACCATTAGGGGATCCTTCTCTGGCTGCACTAAGTGCAAAGCCACCTGCAACATCTGTTTGGCTTTGAGTTTTACCTTCAAACCCTGAATATTGATATAAGAATTAGGAGTTAGAGGGATGAGTATAGTTCAATTTGTAGATAACCTGGAAGCAATTATAATAAAAATTATGGTATGTTTTTCAAGTTTACAAACGATGTTAAGTACCTGAGATGAGGGAAAATGTGGAATAATGGAAGGAAATCTAGCATTTCCTTTAAATCAATCCTAAGGAATATTTTTAACTACACAGTTTTCTGTCAACCTAAGTGGGTGTGATTCTTGTGGTGGTGGCGTATTGTTTAGTCAAATGAGCAAGCTGATCCTTGGCAAAAATGAACTGATGCCCTAATTATCTTTTTAAAATGTATAATGGATGAACAGGAAATAAAATAAAATTGTATTCATAAACTCCTAATACTCCTGACGATAGATCTAGTGGCAAGGTTACTCCATAATGTTATGATGAGAGGGCGGGAAGCGGGGGAGAGAGAGAGAGAGGGAGAGGAGGAGGAGGAGGAAGAGGAAGAGGAGGAGGGAGGAGAGAGAAAGAAGGAGGAAGCAGATGGAGGACAAGAAGGAGGAGGCGAAGGAGGAAGAAGAGGACAAGAAGGAGGAAGAGGAGGACAAGAGGACAAGGAGAAGGAGAGGGAGGGAGAAGAGGAGGAGGAAGGAGTTAGAGGAAAGAGCAGGCGGCAGGGAAGCAGGAAGGGAAATTCACATCATCCAAGTCTGCCTGGGAAGCGTAGTGACATCAGTGATGGTGACAGGCTGTTGACAGAATAACCAGCCATACAGTCACCCTGAATTTATCCCCACGAGGAGGCTCAGATGGAATATTTTCTGCCTGTGAAAACGAGAACTAGCAGTGAGGAAAGGGAAACCCCTTCTTCCAGGAGTGCCCCTTGTTTTTCTCTCTCCTTTCATTGTCCCTGTCATACATTTTTCAAGGACGAATAGGAAAGACCCTGCTTGTCAGTGCTCGCCCGCCTAGGGCTCTTCTTCACTGGCAAGGCCACCTGCAGCTGCTTCCAAAACCTGCCCTGTGGGTACTTGGATTTCTCCCCTTTCCACTTAATGACCGTGAGCACCGTCTTAGCCCTCTTCAGTTCTTTCACCTTCGTCTCCTTCACAGCTTTGTACTGCACTAAAATGACGTTGATGTTGCCCCGAGAGGCCATATTTTCTAGGCCAGCCTTGAACTCCAGGAGGGCTTGGGTTCCCTGGAGCACGTAGTTGGGGCTTAGGACAACCAGGAGGCGTCTGCTTTTCTGAATGAAGCTCAACGTCTCGTCTGTGACAACTGGGAAAGAAAATACCACGGGGATTAGTGTTGGCCAAGAATTATCCAAAAACATGGGGCTGGAGGAGCAAACGCAGGGGATTTCAGATAACAGCCGGAGGAATGAGGGGAGTTTCTTTTGTTTTGATTTTTACCAGCAACATGTTGAACAGCTTTCTCCTGTTGTCCACTAACCATCATCCTGGCCAGTAACTGCCATTTTCCTAAGGAAAAATGCAAAGCGCACAAGCATATTCTATCCCCCAAGGAATTTCAAACAAGCACAGCACCAAAAAGTGCCATATTTTTCCGGCCTCTGTCTTCAAAAGTATTATCTGCTTCACAACAGATGTGATGCACTAAAATCAGTTTCTTCAAACAATGTGGTATGTTGTGGCCCAGTTGAATTAGATTTGAACACTTTTTCTCCCAAAGACATGCATGAATAGACTCTCCACTATGAAAAGTATTCACAGAGTTATATCTTAGAGAGTTAAAATCATACAATTTCATTTTTTGCTGACACAGGACAAGAAAAGAAAAAATATTTATGTTTTGAAACTCCTGTATTGTTGGACACCTCCCTCACTCCGACTGATCTCTCTGTCTTGGAACAGGAACTTTAAATATACTAGCTAACTAATTAATACTTCAGCAAGCAATACATTTCCAATGAGGTTCTACATCTCTCTGCTCTAGAGATCGTATTTGTTCGTACATCTTTCTCCTTAGAGCCCTGTCATTACTGCGTGAAGCTATGTGTTTCAGCAGCTGCCAGCTGATGTGTCTGCTTTCACTAACTGGCAAATACTTTCTCCCAGTTAAAAACAAGTAGGAAAATTAAAATACAGTATAATTTTATTCTGCTGCCAGGGCTCTGATTAATTCCCATCACTAAAATCTTCAGACTATCTCTTTACAGATGCTTAGCAAGGACTATATAATCCTTTACTGGGTTAGAGCTACTGCCAACTCCGGGTGATGCTGGCACCGCGGAACTCATATGAAGACTTGACACTCTCCAAGCAGTCAGTTCAATTCTTAGCCTTCACAGGAACCAAAAGCTTGCCATTAAAATCTAGCATGTGCAACACAGAAGAGAATCCATGAACAGGACACGGACCAGGTGCTGTAGGCGTGGAAAGAGACCCAGAAGCAAAGTGGACTGAGTAATAGCATCAAGGAGAATCCGAAGGGCCATCCACAAAAAACAAGATGCAAGAGGAATTATGCAGGGCTTGAGTTCCCTAAACAACTGTTAACTCTTATAGGAGCTTCTTACCTAGTTATGTAGCATTTTTCTTTCTGTAACATTTCACTTAGTAAATAAGTAATTGCTGAATGTCTATATGGGTAAATGAATGAATAAGAGATCCAGAAAATTAAGTGTTAAAATGAGTGAAATGTATCCCTTAACTGTATAATTTACTCATCATTTCCTGGGAAATTTAGATTGAAGATGTTGTTTTTTGTTTTGTTTTGTTTTGTTTTGTTTTTTCTGGATGATGACTAGAAAGATCCTTCTAATTCAAACTGAGAATACAATTATAAGTCTTTGCCTCAATTATCATATAATGAATGATTTTTCAAAACTATGTAAACAAATGATGGCTATAAACAGAATTTTTGAGGAAGAAAATTAGCCTGTCACTCTTAAGATCAGAGATAGTACATAAATTTCAAAGGTAGGCAGTTTAACAGCATATTTATAAATATTACTTATCTTAAAAAGACTCAACCCATTGCTTAGTGTGTCACCAGATGGACTTGAGAACATATATTTTTGTTTTAAAATATTCAGCAATTGGGGCTGGGGATTTAGCTCAGTGCTTCTACCTCCTACCTCACAAATGCAAGGTCCCTAGTTTGATCCCCAGTACCCCCAAAAAAGATTTTTCCCTTTGCATCCAAATGAGGCATCTGCTGTGCACAGGTACAATGCAGACACCTCGGCTTCCAGTTCCTCCTCTGTCAAGTACACTATATCTCCAATTAAAAATTTGTAGAAAAGAAGATGCCGACTTAAGGAAAAGGAGGTGAGTAGCATTACTTTGCTAGAAAATAAAGGAAAAAGAAATGCACAAATGACAAAGGCAAATATTCAAACTGTTTTCAGTAATGTGCTCTTTTCTGTAATTCACTTTTAATACAACTGAGTGAACTTCAGGTTGTAAAAGAAACCTATTTTGTAAACTTAAGTCTTTGTACAAAGAAAATTCTAGCTGAAGCAAAGCAGATCAATCTAAGTCTAAAAACCTAAATGTGGCTCAACAGAAAGCTGTGGTACTTTAATAGAGCTCTTTTTCTGGTAAGGAGTTCTTAAAAATTACAAGGGTAAATATTTTGCAACTATAAAGCAGATCGAATAGTATATATACTATAATGTTTTTTGTTTGTTTTATTTTTTTGTTTTTGTTTTTTTGTGTGTGTGTGGGTTTTTTGAGACAGGGTCTCACTATGTAGTTGAGACTGACCTGGATCTCACTATGTAGCCCAGGCTGGTCTCGAACTTGCAGCGATCCTCCTGCCTCAGCCTCCTGAGTGCTGGGATTACAGGGGTGCACCACCATGCCCGGCTCTTATAATGTGGTTTTAATTCTAAAGAACTCTCCAGTCCTTTAAAACTTGCATATTACATATCCAAAGTTGTGAATATAAGCTATGACTCTCATATTTAGTCCAAAATTGAGGAACATCTTTGCCTTTTAGATGGCATCTTTTGTACTCATCTGAAATACCTACTTCCCCCAGGCAGACTGTCTCGGTCAAAGATGCACAGCTTGTATCCAAATTCATTCTCCAAAACTCCACGGAGGGTCAGTAAGACGAATTCTTCTTCTTCAGCATTTCTTGCATAAGATACATAAATATCATATTCCTTCCCGTCTACCAAAAGGAGCACAGATCCAATATAAATCAGGAAAGTTTAATAGTGTTACTTTTTTCTTATATCTAACTTCAGCATATTAGACAGTTTTATTTTTTACAAGCAGAAATTATATGACAGATTCAATGTGATTTTCCGCTGTAACAGTCTCCAGGCAAAATGGCTATTTGAATTCAAGTTTTATTTGATCTGTCTTTAACTGCTGGCTTACTTAGCTTGGGAGCTCCCTAGCGGCTTGGTAAAGCACACTTCAGAGTGTATCTGTGTGTGTCATGGAAGTGTGACTTTGAGGTCTATATCTAGACCCTGGACCCCTCACCTCTCTAGGGCTCTTCTTTCTGGCCCCCAGGAAGCCAGTAGCTTTGTGCCACCATTCCCTTCCACCGTGATGTTCCCGCCTTAGCAATAGTCAAACATGAACTGAATCTTCGGAAACCATGAGGCTAATTAAATCTCTTTCCTTTAAGTTGTGGTTGTCAGATATTTTTACCCAGTAAGAAGAAAGCTAACTTATACAGTCTCCTAATCTAATCTCACTTAGTTGAGAACAGGATGTAAACTGTATATGCTAGCATTTAATGCCATGCAAAAGAATTTCATATTCACCATCACAGTATATCATTCAATAATACATTAAAATTAAAAATCGAGGAAGACCTTTTGACAATGTTTAAATTATACTTGAAAAGAACTACAGTTAAAATACACTTATATTCAATGGAATAATATATTCTCAAATTGCCTTGTTCTAGAAGTCACGAGTCATTAGAAATACAGATTATGCGTCTGTTCCAAAAGCCTACTGTATTAGAATCTTTATGGGGTAGACCTAACAATCTGTATGTTTAAATGTTTCTTTCCAATTTCAAGGCATTCTTTTTTTTCACTAGATCATTATTTCTTAAACTGCAATGTGCACATGAATCATCTGGAATATGGCTAAAATGTAGATTCTGATTCAGTAAGGGTTAGATCTAAAATTTTCCCTCTGTTATCACATGATGCAGACACTTATGGTTGGTGTATCGGTCTTGAATATAGTGTGAACTTGCACTATGCAATACAGATAACATAAAGCATGTGACTACTGAACAGTAGAAATAGAGCTACTGTAAACTGAGATGCACTATAAGTAAACAATAGAATGTATTTGAAATTTGGAGTATTTTAGTGCCAAAGGAATGTAAAATGTCTCTCATTAAATTTTTAATATCAATTACATGTTGAAATAACAATATGAATATACAGAATCAAATCATTGCTCTCATTTGTTTCTTTTTACTTTTTCTAATATGGGCATTTGAAGCATATGGTGTCTTAGTCACCTTTTCTGATGGCTGAGACAAAATACCTGACACAAAGTTAATGGAGGAAAGGTTTATTTTGGCTTACAGTTTGTAGAGGCTTCAGCCTATAATTGGCTAATGCCAAGGCAGGGTGGCAGGGCAGAGGGGCATCATAGAGGAGAAACAGTTCATGGTAGGCACAAGGCAACAGGCATCCAAGCAGTAAGCAACAAGCGACAAGCCACAATAACAGCTCTTTCTGTCCTTTATATCGTATCCATGCTACTCACACCCTTAATCCTAGCATCACACCTTGAATCAATCCCAGCATCACATAAAACCAGCCACCTCTGAAAATCCCCATCTATGACCTTATGAGGCTTGAAGGGGTCATCTAGACACAAGCCATAGCATATAGTTTGCCTTTCGTTTTCTATGTGGACGATGCAAATCTAGATTAAATAACACATCAATCTACAAAAAGATAATAATATACATTGAAAAGATTTTTTTATAATAAGAGTTGGGCTGACAGGTCATCTACTTAAATCTTTTAGTTAATCTAGGTTTTATCAAGTAAATATTTTCTAAAGACAATAGAGGAGATTTACATTAAACCTCCATTCCTTACCTAGTATGGTTTCATCTGTTCCAAAATGAGCCCGATAAAAGAGAACCATCTCCAGCCAGTAAACGTGGTAAACAACAATAAGAATTACCACCAGCAGGACTGTAGCTCCAAAACCACATGCCAGTTCCACTGTGTATCTTGGTGCTACCAAAAGAAATAATAATAAAAACAACAGCAAAATCAAATTAATTTCCATTCAGTGATCATGTTGACCCACTACTCTACAATAATTGGAAAAGCCAAGTGGCTGAATCATGACATTGACCTCTGTATGTGAATTGGTTAACATGGTAGAGTTTAGGGACTACTTTTAAATATCAGGCTGTGTCATATTTACTTGTGTGTGTGTGTGTGTGTGTGTGTGTGTGTGTGTGTCTAGCTCTTAGATCTTTTCATCTATGTGATGAGTTTTATAGGCTTTGACAATGCATAAATTTAAGTAACATCTTAATATTGGTAGGATTTAGAATGATAGCTAATTCAATGCACAATTTGTTACCTAAATCTGCTCAAAACTATTTTTGAATAGTATCAATCCATTCTGTGATTGACCATCTGTCGGGATGGAGTTCCAAAAGTTCTACCTGGAAAATCTCATCATAGTGGCAGAATTTTAATTGTTGGAGCAGCTGACTTGAGTAAAAATTTTAGTAAGTTTCCATTAATTTTAGTTTGTGTAGTGTCATATGGAAGGAACTTCATTTGTTTTTCTTTATTTGCATGTAGGTTTCAAGTCTTGTTTTCTTTGGGCAGAAATGGGAGAGTCCACCAACTGCTGAGCATGAGGGGCTCTGGAAGGATCCCCATGTCCATGGTTCTAAGGTACATATTCAAAAGATTGACTTTTAAAATCTTGTTATGCCCATGTTTCCACATATAACTGCTTATTTTCAAATCAAAGACACCTTAGCAGTTTTTTTAACTATCAAAAAGAGCAAGTGATTTTGACTGAATTGAAAACTAGATATTAATTCATTATCCCTGTAAGGAAGCCCATTACAACGAAATCATGGGCAACCTTCCTGTCTTACTTACCTTTAGCTTTTCCTTTCAAACATCAGGAATATTTAATATTAAGCCTTTGCTCTGCTGTGATTCTGGCTGAAATAGTCCTGTCCTTTTTTTCAGTTTTCCAGTTTATGTGTAAATAGCACTATTTTGTATAAGGTTTCATAGAACAAAACCTTGTAACTTGAGCTCTGCTAGTAGAAATTCCCATTCCTTGTTTATAACTTTATTACAGCGTTGCTCTTACACTGTAATTTGTCTGGAGGCCTGCTTTTCCATCTGTTCACTCTCCAATAAGTCATACATTCATAGTCTTTCCAGTGGAGACTTCTTTTCATTCATGCTACCCTTAGAAGATGTAGTATTTTAGATAACATTTCCAGATATAACACTTTGCACTTCTGGTATGTTTAAAAGCCTAGCATTTACATTAGGCATCAGAAACTTCTGGTTATTATATCAGCTGTAGTACTGAAAGTTATAAGTTTCAAGAAAGAACACAAGATTTGCTGGATTTGAAGCAGGACTGACTTACATTAGGTATAAATTGATTTGATAACTACTCATTGACATGTTGTTTTCATTTTTTTTTTTTTTTTTTTTTTGGTACTGGGGATTGAACTCGGGTCCTTGTGCTTGCAAGGCAGCCACCGAACCGCTGAGCTAAATCCGGCCCTGACATGTTATTTTCTAGAATGGTGGATACAACAGAAATGGTGTCTGGACTTTTGAAGTTAACATTACAATGCAGGGATGCAAGTAAGGCCGTAAATGTGTTTATTTTAAATAGTGATGAATGTTAAAAATAGAGCTAATGTGATAGAGGTGAATGAATGACACGGTTTGCCCAGTGGATGGACTTTAGATAGGGTACTGAGCACCTGGAACAGTGTAGATGTTCAGTGTCTGCTGAGACAAGTCATGGAAGGGGCTCATTCACAGCTGGGATAGGTACCAAGACTCCAAAGTGCAGGGATCTTTTCGCAATGCTTTAAAGTTTAATTATTGACCACATACTAGAGGGGGAAAAACATCTCCTTTAGAACCATTATCTATTCTACAGAGAAAACGGTTAGCAGCCCAGAGCTGAATAAAGGGCAAACTGTAGAGTTTTCAACTCATTACCCCAGATCCAGGATTTTAATCCTGCCCTGGGTAGAGCCTGAGACTAGGCAGTGCAAAATTACTATTGGCTACTCTTGTATTTGTTCCAGCAGAAACGGTCCTTCAACATAAGAAGAGTCCACCATATGCTGCCAGAAGCAATGCCAGTGTAGTTATTGAGAGTTTACTAATATCCATTCAGGTAGCTGACATAAAAATCGTGTCTCTGGAATTTCGGAGTACATATTATGTTAGCAGCACACTGGGTGAATCCCGCTGTTATTTTCATTATCTGCTCAGTTTTCTGGGCTCTCTCCGAATGGACACTTTGTCCATCTGCACAATATCAGGCAGGGGCTAGAGAAGGTCCTCGGTTAGACTGACCTGAGACGGGCTTTTTCTAAATGTCAACAGACGTCTCGCTTAATGACCAAGAGATCGATTACCCAAATAAATTTCCCTCCCACATCCCTCTTACTACTTCCTATTTTATTTCCAATAGGGCTTGTATGTTTTATGTCAGATACAGATTGTATTTTGTGTAACCACCTTGATATCAAGGAGTCTGAAGTGCTATCTAACTACCTGGACTCTTCAAATAAATGATACTCCAATCTGATTCTTCCACGTGGTCGAACCATATTCAAGAAATGCTGCGCAAAGCTTTCGGGGGAAGCAGTACTGGCTTACAGGGAACGGTGTCCCTCAGCCTACATTTTCTGTCTGCCCCGACTGGAACCTCTGGCCTTACGGCATAATGATTGTACCTTGATGTAATATCAGACCAGAGTGTTTCCAACTGGAGTTAGGTGATGCACTTTGACCAAGCTGGACTCCTGCCACCCTTCTCCCACTGATTTCACTAGAATCTAATTCAGGATGTAGCCAAATGGAGTCGTGCACTTGCTTTTACTCTGTGAGTTAGAATTTCCTCTGTTTCTTCTGCAGTTCCATAGTAAAATTTGTCTCCAAATTATAAATTTGTAGCCAATAACCTTTGATTCAAACTTTTCCAGACTTCATCTCTAATTTCTACCTCACTCTGTGTTCTAGTTCTGCACCCATCTGCCTCTGTGCTAATCTAAGTTATGCATCTTTACTGTAGTAATTAGAATCTTCTTAGGTATTGAATCTTCCAACCAAATGCCAGTTGCTCAGACTTTCAAGGTTCCCTGCCACAGAACCTGGGGCTACTCAGTGCCACATATAAATTCCTTATAATTTTTGGAACTGCAGCAATGCTCATTTTCTTGAATTTTAAACAAATAGTACCCATTATTTAAATGACAGTTAACAAGAGAGCTATGATGAATTGACTTGCACATCTGCTTGATTTGGCTACAATGTGTTACAACTTATACAATGCAGACTTCAGGCTTTGTCCATTAAAGAGTAAGTGATAGTGGACTAGTCTTCTTTCCACAGTATCTAAAATAATGTTTTTTTTCTTAAATTGGACAAATGATAGCATATGAGTGTGATTTTTGAGGGGAGAACACACAAAATGATTAGCCCCACAATCACTCTGGCTTTTTGTCGGAGGACATTTTTTTGGGTTACGGAACCCAAAGTGGAAAGGCAAAAGAAGCCAGTGGTTGCACCGAGGTAAGGAGAGAAAAATTAAGAGTTCAACACTATTGTGTCAAACTGACTTCACTGGCCTGAGTACCAGAGAGAAAAGAATGGTGTACAAAAGGAACTCTAGAAATCTACATAGGGTTATGGTGACTCCTTTGGGCAAATGCAAATCTGTACTTATTTAGGGTGATATTCTCCAAGGTCAGGCAGAGAGTAGCAAGGAGCTGAAGAGTTCTCAGAGAACAGCAAGGGTTGGAGACAGCTGAACCCAAAGCGCTTAGAGGGAAGAGCCTTTGTTGAGCTGCCCAGACACACCAGAGAGGCTGTGCCTTAGAAGTAGGAGCAATTTAGCCCTACAGGAAAGGCCATTTAGGACTACTCTTACACAAACACATGAGACGATTAAAAAGAGAGAAAGCCAACTAAGTACCATCCAACATTTATAAAACCAGACATTCAATGATATCGTATCTATTATGTCCACAATGGGATATTACACAGGAAAGAAAAAAAAAAAGAAAGAATGTGACCCACACAGAAGAAAAAATCATCAAAAAAAAAAAAAAGGCCCAGAATTGGCCAAGATGGTGTAAGTACCAGATAAATACCTCAAACCACATTGTGAAGAGCTGAAATGCTTCCAGAGGAAAAATTGAATTTCAAAAACTGAAAAATGCATTTCTGAAATAAAAAATGTCACACATTAGATATTATAAAAGAAATTATCAGCAGATACTAGAAGATACCATAACAGACAAACAAAAAACAAATGAAAATGAATTTTTAAAATGATAGTGTCAGTTTCCTGTGGGAAACAGTTGAGTTGTATACCATAAATACAATTATACAACTGAAATAATTAGAGGCAGAATGACATATTTGAAGAAATAGTGATGGAAAAATTTTCAATTTAAATGAAAAAACCTGCAGAGTAGGAAAGGCTAATAAATAGATATAGAAATACAGGCCTACCTAAGGATATTGTAATTGTTCAAAACTAGCAAAGAAGAGAAAAAAATCCCAAAACTTGCCATGAGAACAAAAAATGAGACACATAGGAAGGAAACAGTAATAAACAACATGAAAAATTGTCCAATTCACCTTATAAATCATATTAGCCAGGAGAAAATAACATTTTAAAGAGCAAGAATGAAAAGATAAAGAAAAAGGACCAGGGATTTAGCTCAGTGGTTCCACCGCTTGCCTTGCAGACTCAAGGACCAGAGTTTGATCCCTGGTCCAAAAAAAAAAAAAAAAAAGTTTTCTGCCACAAGAAGAGAGAGAAAACTGGAATAATTTCTAAAGAAAATGAACTTATAATTCAAAGCTTTCTTCTAAAGAAAACCCCAAGTCCAGGTAGTTAATAGGTAATTCTTTAAACGATGTGATCCAAAAACAATAATTTTACACATAGGTATTCAGAAGAGGGACATCGTTATCCAACTCATATCATGAGTCCTTAGTGACATCACGGCACTGTAAGAAATGAAAATGATAAGCCAATGTCCTTTTGAACACAGACATGTACAAAAACTTTAACAGGAGCACACATCTTTAACAAAACATTAGCAAATCAAGTCAGAAAATATATTAAAAAGACAAGACATGCTGATGTGTGGTTTATTCCAGGAAGCAAAACTGGATGAACTTTTCACAATCAGTCACTGTAAATCAGCACATTGACAGATTGGTAAAAGAACAAACTCACAGGAAGCACTCAAAAGATGGAAATAAGAATTCAACAAAATTCAACACCCCCATTAAAAATTTTTTTTTCAGAAAACTAAAAACAAAAATGCATATAGAAACTATTTAATGACATATCGAATATATGAATACTTGTCCTTAAATTTGGGATAATGCAAAGATGAATCCATTTCATAATGTCTACTGATCACTGTACTGGAGGCCCAAAAGAAATACACAGTAAAAGTAATCCAAGGTATAAAGTTGAAAAAGGAAATTAAAAATCTATTTCTTTAGGAGTAAGATGATCAAGTATATAGAAAATCTTAAGCGACCAAAAGAATAAAAGAAACAAAAATGTTACTACTTAGGTAATCTATCCAGAAAGCCAGAAGGTCAAGATCAGTGCATAAAAATCAAATAATTGCTCTTCTATGTTTTATCAAGGAACGATTTGAAATTGAAATTTTAATGAATTCTACTAAAACAGCAACAAAATATTTCAGGATAAATTTAACAATATGTGTGCAAGATCTGTACCTTCCTATGTAAGAGAAAAGAAAAAACTACTTCTTAAAAATTAATAAAGACACATAAATGGAGAAATGCATCATATTTATAGACTGGATTGAAATACGGTTAAGATTTCAATTCTTCCCAAACTGATTTATATTTTAGTAGGGTCCAAAGCACAACTCCAGAAAATGTATCACTCAACAAGGAAGAAAAGTACATGATTCTTAAAATAATCAAATCGGCCGGGGATTTAGCTCAGCGGTTTGGTGGCCTGCCTTGCAAGTGCAAGGACCCGAGTTCAATCCCCAGTACCAAAAAAAAAAAAAAAAAATCAAATCAATCTTGGGAGGAAAAAAGCAGAAGGGTGTATAGTATCTGATTTCATGATTACTTGGAAGCTATGCTAATTAAAACAGAAAAGAGCCTGGAAAAACGGCAGCCTGATTCACAGAACACAACAGGGAATGCAGAAACAGAGCCAGCCTCAGAGTCAACTGATTTTTGGGACAACTTTTCAAAATAATTAAAGAAAAAAAGTTATTTTTCAATATGAATTTGAAACAACTGGCTATTTGGGAAAACAAAACAAGATGAGATTTTTTTAATATATTATATCAAGTAAATATTTTGAAAGCGATCATAGGAAAATATAGTAGTAATCTTCCAGAAGAACCTGCGCGTTATTTCTAAGCTAATGGGGGCAAAACTGCTAATACAGGATTTAGAAAACAACTAAGCCTAAAAGAAGAAATTAATAAAATAACTTCAGATTTTTTAAAAAAAATTGTTTATCAAAAAATGAATTCACAAACTGGATAGAAATATGTAAACTTGTATATTTGAAAAAAGATTTTTATTCAAAATGTGTGTGGCCTATTACTCATTACATTAAAAACAAATGAACCTGGGCCAGAGATTTAGCTCAGTGGTTCTAGCAACTGCCTTGCAAGTGCAAGGACCCGAGTTCCATACCTGGTACCAAAAACAAACAAACAAAAAACAAATGACCCAATAACAAATTGGACTAAGGATTTAATGCATGCTTTAGAAAAAATTATTAATGGGGCCGGGGATTTAGCTCAGCAGCTCGGTGGCCTGCCTTGCAGGCGCAAGGACCTGAGTTCAATCCCCTGTACCAAAAAAAAAAAAAAAAAAAAAAAAAAAA